GCTTTGATCAACCATGTTGCAGAAACAGGCAACTGTTGCTCTGGTAAAGCGACTGCCCAGTCCCTGCTCAACACAGACAATGGTGGTGACTCTCTGGTGAACATAATAACTTTATAGTCGTCTTATTTATATTCCACCTCTCAAAACAGACAAAATCTAAAATCGAATTATACAGAAAAGCTGAAAAGCAAACAGAAATGTTGGTGGAGACCAAAAACTGACGTGACCGAGAGATCCAGTCATGTTTTTAATCTGGCTTCTCTTAATTCACATCATTAGAACAGATTGTGCTTTTATCTCCAATGAGCGTTTGAAAGGATAATTACTTGGAGAAGAAGCCAAATATTTGAAACAACTGCGTCAGTTCATCTGTCTCACATTGTGATAGTGAGCGTTGAGCAGCACTAAACCAATGAACCAATGGAGTTCTACATCACATTTGGCCTATTTCTAAAACCTGACCAGACTCCTGGTCCTTGATTTCAAAGCTTGTTGAGCACGTGAGGGAGCCCGGGGGTGGAGGTGGGGTCGAACTGTCTGTAAATCATCTTCTGTGGAGAACGATCGAGGGAGATAAAGGGAGAATCCACCACAGGCGTTTTCTCTTTGAACTCGTCTGCTTATTTCATTAAGCTTCAGTGAGGAGATGACTGGCCCGAGGCGAAAAGGAATAATTTGTCTCACGTTACCAAGCGGCTTCTGATTGGCTGAGGAGTGTTGGATAAAATGTAAGCCTAAAGTAACTGTGCATCATCGTGTGGTATTCCCAAGTTTCCTTTCATCACTGCGCCTAATGAAAGATTAGCTGTTGTGTCTGAAACCCTCAAATAGGTTTAGTCTTATTTTAGTATCCATCACCACATCAATATAATATGTGAACGTCTGTGATTATGTCGTTAATCAAATAGTTATTTCACATTTCTCATCAGTACTTCACACTCATCTCCCTCCACAGGCACTGGACGAGTAAACCTGGTGCCGCTGCCCTCGGTGGTGACCAGCCCGCGGGACATGGCCCTGGCCGCAGTGATCTGCAGTGCTCTGGCCACCGTGCTGCTCGCCCTGCTGGTCCTGTGTGTCATCTACTGCAAGAGACAGCTGCTGGAGAAGAAGCCCAGTGGTGAGTCCCAGCACCTGGAAGCACTGTCCGAAACAAGATTTGAAATCTGAACAAGATGTTTTTGTGCACGAAAAGCCTTTTGATTTGAGTCTACAAACCAAACACAAGGCTCAAAGAAAGCTTTGCAGACTTTTCACGTACCACTGCAGCTGCTTTCTATGGACGAGCCAGGTTTGCATGTGCAGCGAGCACTGAACTTTGAACCCCTCTTCCCGGGTGCCAGTGAATTCCCAGTACAAAATGTTCTCTGATCAAAACTTCCAAAATAAAGAAAGAACTCAGACTGTGTTCCAAAAGGTGCTTGACTGATACAACCTCATTAGAAAAACCAAACAATGAAGATGGAGATAATGTATCTCAAACATGTCACCTGCGCTGAGCAGCCAGTTGTGTGGACAAGTCTTTGCTGCTCTTATAATTGTGCTTTTACCACAGTGAGTGAAGCAGCTGAATATTGAAGGGACTTCCAATAAAGGTGGTTGAGGTCGATTTCTTTGCTCTTTTGTCGACTACACAGACAGAGCACGAATTCATCTGTCAGTCGAGATCTTCGGTGTTAAGCCTTATTAAAACCAGATGTTGCATATTTGTGGCAACTTGTATAATGAGCTGTATTCTCAAAGTGTTTGAGTATGTGAAATATCCCAAGGCAAAGAATTAATGACATCATTTTTGTCTGGTAAGCTCACCTGAAACAAAGAGCGCAGTACAAGTTACCAAGGCGTTACCAGGTCTGTGCTTTTTTTTTTTTTTTTGCGGCATGAAAAGAACACGAGTCAAATATTTTGTCAGTAGTTGCCTCTCATTGCAAACATGCACCCCGCCCTTCACCCAAGCCACTACGACATGCTAACACAGTGGTTTTCTAATTATACTGAAGAATTTTAATCGGCCTCATGGGCTCAAGGGTTGTGAAGCAATTCCACACACACAACTGAAAATCGAATTCCAGAGTGATTTCTGTTATTATTCTCAATAGGAGCATAGAAAAGTAGAAGGTTACGACCTTCTAGTAATTTACAAACAGTTTGTAAGTCGTCACTAATAGATTAACTGATTCTTAATGAGTCAACCCAGTGAGTCAAGGGGATTAATCATGACTGTTTAACCCAAGGTTGGCTCACATTAACAGCAAAGTGCTGTTCATACCCTAAATGTAGAGGACCACCTGCACCAAGGAGCTCATGTTTTCATCTGTGTCTGTGAGCAGGATCACGCAGAAACTACTCAACCTGTTACTATGAAATCTGGTGGGCAGGTGGGCCATGACCCAAGGAAAAAAAAAAGTGGTACCAGTAGGAGTTCGATGCTGCACTGGGTTCTTGTAGGTCTCAGTGGTTGACTGTCCTCCGCCATGTTTCCACAGCAGCCTCTCTGAGGTCCCAGGACTGTCCGTTTAGCGGCGCAGAGCTTTCCTGCTTGGACCCCCGCTGGCTTCACGACTTTCCCCATAGACCCTGCTGCCAGTGTCACCTGGGCCCCGGACACACCTGTGGTAGGACATAGTTTGATGCTAAAAACTTCTTATGAAGCCACAGCCACAATTCATGCAATGTTTCTGATAACGCAGGATAAATATTATATTCTGAACTCAGCAGTTCACTGTCATGTAACTACTGATGATGGTAATGTGTATATCAACCTGTCGTGTGTGATGTTCAGGTCCAGTCCACCTCATCCCGTCGATGTGCTGTGATGAGAGGTGCAGTCTGGGCCGCAGCCATGACAACAGTCCCTTCCAGTCCCAGACGAGCCTCAGTGACGGGTGAGGACTGCAGCGAATTTGTTCCCACAAGTAACAGAATGTGACCATTTGAAATCATCATCGTCGCTATTAAAACTACCAGGCAACAGCATGACGGCAAACACTTTCCAGTAGTTCAACTGGTCCAAACTGCACAGGGAATTAAACTGTTTCCAGTAAAACATGTACGTGTAAGATACTTCACACAATCATGAGAGAACTTGACACAGTTTGGTCCGTCTACAGAAAACCTGGAGACAAAACACAGGCTAACAGCTGCTCTGCTGCCTTGGGGGCAACGTTCTAATTTCTGTTAATATCAAAGATATAATTTACAGTGGCTTATAACACTCTTTGAAGTGCTGAATACAAACAGAGGCATCAGAAAGAATATGCAACAACACAGGGTGTGGCTGTGAACAGAGATTCACAGTGATATTAACCACCGCTTTCTTAATCACGCTCCCCCAGGAACCTGGATGAGGAGAGCACACCTGTGCAGCAGGGGGGGCACCCAGAGTTTGACACCGTGGAGGCTGATGGGATGACGGGGAGCTGGCAGCCCACAGAGTGTTTGCCTCAGTGCAACTCAGAATGTGCAGAAAGAATGGAGGAGGAGGAGGATTGTGAGGGTGACAGGGAGGAAGAAGAAGAAGAAGAAGAAGAAGGGTACAGGTCAGGGGAGAGTTCACCTGAGAGGAGCAGTCGGAGCTACAGTGAAGCTGTGACAGAAGCATTTCATCCCAAACAGCTCACGTCAACTCAGTTAGGTGAGTCACTACCGCTCTCACATGCAGACCCAACATGACGTCCCCCAGCTGTAAATCACTTTTACTTATACAACTTAATGATCCTGAGAAAAAATAAATCCACCTACTTACAAATTATAAATTAGATACTTAAGAGCCATTTTCAGCCATGAACTCCGGATGATGTCCGTACATTTGGGTCTGGAGTTCTCCTCTCAGATGCCTTCACAACATCAAAAGAATCCTAGAATGTTGGTAGATTAGCCGGAGTTCAGAGCATGTCTGAAAGCGGCTTTACAGACTGTGAAAGAAGATTGAACCTCTCTCAAACCCCAAAATAATTTTCCTCTAAAAGGCAGCCAATAACAATGTAGGACGTCCTTTTCATGGACTGGGGCATTGCTCTGTGTGTGTGTCCATGAAGAGCAGCTGGTAAAAGAAACTAGAGACAGCAGCACTAGTTGTTTGATGTGGACGAGACTGCGTTTAAAGTCGGCCGCTGGCTGACTCTGGGTAGATACGTTACTAATCACAGCGTGTCTGCCTTCTTCTTCCTCCTCTCTCTCCAGGATGACATGGACTTGTTTGGCTCGCGTTCCATCCTTGAACCAGCCTGGACTCAACAACAGCCGCGGCCAGATCCCGTTTCAGATTACTCACCCCTGCCATTCCCCCTGTCACTCCCCCTCACACACACTTTTAACTGCCTGCAGCTGACCTCAGAGCCACTGGTCAAAGAAAGAATCTGAACAAGTCCGTTCATACATGTAAACAAAAGCACTATGGAGAAAACTCAAACGCATGAGAGCAAAGGCACACACTCACACACTCACACACTCACACACAGAATGTGAACTCTCTGGCCCAGAAGGTGAAATTGAAGTTCAAACGTCGAGGAGTATTGACTTATGAACACGGAGCAAAGATCCTGCACTCTGCCGTCTCACGTCTTCACGTGTTGGACGGAAACTGTACCACTGATCTAGCAGCAGGTGTTATGAAGCTTTTTGTACGTTAAAAGGTAAAATTTGAGGTGTGAAGAAAAATGTCAAAAGTGATTATGTTGCACATTGAAGACAATCTTGATACGGGACGAGTTAGGAAGAGGAATGTTTGAGTGATAAATATGTTGTAGATACTGTACAATAGTAAAAATAGGTCAATATTTTTGTAACATAGACATGACTGACAGTATGTTTGCTTCTCTTCCAGTTATAGTGTTGATGGATGTGAACGTCGTTTTTGTAAATAAACCACTTGAACAGTTTACATACTGATGAATTTATACTCTCAATTCTTATGGAACTAATTCAATGAAATGATTTAGTAATGCACTGCCAGTGTTGTTTGTAGGAAATGCGGCACGGAACAAGGATACGAGTTGACAGATATTTTTTAATTCATCTAAAGTGCAGCCACAGAGTCTCTGCTGATCACATTCACCTGGAACTAGATCAGAGTTAAAGGAATTAAATCACAATACAGCCAAGTTCATATTCAATCAGACAAAGTGCTGTGCTGCAGCCTCCAGCTTGTCGAGTGACGCTGTGTTCACACCTTCATTAACCATGTCGGGTCTCAGATCAGAGTTCAGGCAAGCAAGGACATTGTCAGAGGGAACAGCTGTAGTCCCAGCTCAGCTCATAATTACTGTGTGAATGTTTTTGTAACACGTGGAAACAGCTGCTCTGCCGTGCTCACTCTACATTGTGGAGCATCTGTAGAAATGTGAAGAACTTGTTTAGTAAACCAAGCTGCAAGAGGCTCTGATTTACAAGTTATGACTGAGCAGCCTAAACACATTGTGATACAAAAAGTAGAGATGTTTCCATACCGATACCGGCATCGGAAATGCCTCCAAAACTCACGAAAATGCAGAGTTGGGCATCGGTGAGTACGCACATCTATGTACTGATCCGACACAAAGTCTTTAAAGTATATTAAATTCACCCAGACAAGACATTGTTTTTTCAGGGGCAAAGAAATGATTCCCCGTCATGTAGCTGCAGCTGGTCTGGTTGTCTGTGTGGACAGTCAAAACTTATGGGCAGGCGAGAGGTTGAGACAGAGCCAGCATGAGGCCAATAGAGCTGCAAACAGCTCTACAAGGAATCAAGGGAAAAAAACACTAATTCTTATCGAGCAGAATTCTTAGATATGCTAAATCCAGGAAAGGAAAGAAGGAAAAATGGTATCGGAACATCTCTAATTAAAAAATACTAAATATTAACTCTCCATGGTAATTTAACTGAGTTATATCCACCACAGTCTCCCTCCTGAGAAACTTCTGACAGACAAAACAGACGGAGCAGCATTAATTTAAAGCCCAAACAATGAGCACATGACAGGAAGAGCAGATTAGCTATTCTCCCTCATGCTGATATCATCAGGAAACAACAATGTTCTGCCAGAATGTGAGCTGAGAATGGATCTTTAATGAGGAGGATATTAGCTGCTGATATTAATGAATTAATGAAAATAAAGGGAAATTAAATGATAAAAAGAAAAACCATGCACATTTAGATACATTTATTTGTTCATTTTAACGAAGGTCAGTGCTGAGAAAATGTCAAAAAGGTTATGTACAAACGTGACCTGGCACAAGTTCCTTTAACACACATTGAAATATCATTGATGGGGACAGTTTTGGGAAAAGGCCTGTAAATGTGACAGAATTAACCAGAATCTGCAATAATCAATACTTAGTTATAAAAGGTTTGTTGGCAAGTTTTTAAATCTTCTCGAATCATCTGTTTTATATATTTTTAAAAAAAGTCAAGGTGACTTTAAGAGAGAGCAGCAACCTATAAAATGCAGCTGCTGAGTGTGAGCTACGCTGCCGTAGCTTTCACCTCTCGGCCCAGCAGCAAAAGTTCAAGTCCGTTTCCACGTGACCAGCGACGTCTTTCAGCTCTCAGAGTCCATGATGAAGGTCTCAAAGTTCGGGTTGAGCTCCGACACCAGGGCGTCCACAAAGTCGTCGATGGTGGGTCGTCTCTGCAGCATCCCTGTCACACAGAAACACAGCGGCAGGTTGAAGGATGTGTGTGTGTGTGTGTGTGTGTGTGTGTGTGTGTGTGTGTGTGTGTATCAGATGAAAGTGAGGGGAAAAAGCTATGGTGAGGCACTGGGATGACCTTGTTTCCTTCACCTCATTCTAAAAGTAAAGCTTAAATATTTCCAACCTGAAGTCACTGCAGTGGTTTTATAAAACAGAAATCTCTAACAGGCTAATAAAGACATTTTATTGAATCCTTTGAAGCATGTGACTTTTTTTTATAGCAGATTCAATTAAAATCAAATTAAGGTCGTGGACACAGGCAGCTGCTCCTGAGACTTCTGATCTAATTCCAGTTTTCTTGCAAAGTCATCTAAACCAGTAGAATGTATTTTAGGGATGTTTTTTATTTTTATATTATCTCTTCAAAATCTTCCTTGATTTCTAAGGGAATAATTCATGAATCCTGATGAAAAAAACCAGGCACGTTTAGGGGACTGATATCTAAGTTGCATTCTAAGTGATATGTAAGATGAAGGTATAAGGACCTTTCCCAATTTTGACCAAAAAACCCTTCATTGTTATATTTAATCTGGTCAAAATGGTGTACAGCCACTTTTCTAGCACCCAAATCCTCACACATTCTAACTCTTGAGAAGAAATGAGAGTAGGCTGCGATGCTCTGGTTTAACAGGCCTCTGATGGTGATAAGAATCAGCCGACTGTGTGCAGTTAAACACGGCTATGAAGTTCCCCACAGCTTAGGTTTCTGTCTGTAACTAAAATAAAAGGTCTATCTCACATTTTATGGAGCTTTAGAGACCTGATAGTGAGCTCACACACTCACTCACCACACCAGACTATGACTAGTGCCGTAAAGCAAATGTGACCATGCAGCCATGAGCAAGCGCTGGGAATGCGCGTCTGTGTTTTGAGAGCCTGTCTGCCAGTTCATGCATGGAGGAGTCCCTTGCTCGCTTTACAATTCAGCTGCACGCCTGCTTTGAAGTCACTTCATTTCCCCTTGTGTGGCTGCCAATGTAAATAGGCGCTCTGCCCCTCCCTCCCCCTCCCCGCTTTCCTGCATGGGTCACCTCCAGCGCACACACACTCAAGCACACACACAAAAACGAGTCTGCACAGGCATGCATGAATGGAGACGTAAAGAGTTTCAGACAGCAATCCAGAGCGTACGGACACATAAAGCTATGGACAGTCCAATGTACGCACACGCACACGCACACGCACGCACACACACACACACACACACACAAGCGGACACTGGGGTGTGTGTCACTGCCATCTTGAAACTGGCTCAGCAGGTACAAACTGACCTGGCCTACAGTGGATCTCCTGAGATGAGACAGCCGTGGGATTATCATCTCCTCTTACCCACCGGTTGCGCCCTGCCCCACGGCTACAAGATGATACCAACACACAGGGGTCCCTAATGCTGCAACCGCAAAGCCCCTGGATCCCTGGGAACAGTGCAGCCACATGAAAGCGATGATTTCCAACCATAAATGATCACTGTAATTAAAGCGCTGCTGGATGTGTTCGCTGTGACCACGGTCTATGGCATCTGATGACTGCTTTAAAGTGGATATCCAAATACTAGGATTAGTGAATGTTAATACAGAGAATACTGAGGTCAGCACATCAAGTTACACCTAAGTGCCCTGATCAGAAAGATCCCTGATAAGAGAATATAACATACTAGAAAATAACAGAGAAGTAAGTAGCTTTCAGACAGGCACTGAACTCCTGAAATCTTCCAGAGGGGCTGTACGAGAGAACCCAAAAACCTGAGTCAGACATCCATTCCTGAGCAATTGGGCAAACAGCCACATTTGCTTCTTTCCTAAGACGTAGATTATCACAACCTCTTCCACCATCGCCATGCTTGCTCTCGTCAAAAACTCCAGACTCTGTGTTGCCCTCTAGTGGATGCATAATTTGAAATGAGCCTTTAAGTCACATTACATATATTTTACGTCGATTTAAATATTGATGAGTGCAGCTTTAATCTAAAAAGTTTAATGATCAGAGATTTCTTGCTTCGGTGGGGAAATATATCATTGTGGCACAAAAAAACCAAGTAGCAGACGCACAGGTACACACACATTCTGACACTTGTTTACTTATTACAGTACGTGAGCAGTGAGAGCTACTCATCTGAACTCTTCATACACTTTCTGCAGCGTCACCAGCACTTTCTCTAATAGATGTAATTTCCTGCCTGTGTTTCCACAGGGGAATCTGATGTCTGGAGCAACTGCCTGCCACAGGTGAGACAAGCAAAGTTAACATGACATGAGTGCTGAGAGAGGAAGGGGAGGAAGAGAGAAAAAGACAGAATTACAGAGGGAAAGGGAGGTGTGATCATGAAAGAGGTTAGGCAGGTAAACAATGGTGCCCTTTGCTGGCGTCTCATCACCAGCTGCCTGTGGTGTCAGCACCCCAGCGCTCATCGCAGTGGATGAAGAGAGGATCAACAATAAGTGGCGAGGAGTGAGTCTTTTCTCAAACCAGATCTCCGGGGAGAGTCGGTGTGGAATGCGCAGATAACCTCAAAGTCATAACAACAGTGTGGAGAAGTATCTGATCTGAGGCGCTGCTTTTACATACACATGGAGGCGGGGCAGACAAAACAGACGGGCAGGGTTCACTGACACACTGTAAAAAAGGTGAGCAGCAAAGGGATTTAAAAGATAAAAGCACTGCTTTTGAATTTACTGGAAAAGTGGTAAATGTGTCCACAGATGGTAAACAATGTCTCATCAACAATCCATGGGCCTGCTACAAAATATATATAATGTACAAAATATAAATCTAAAACAGAGAAAGCAGCTAGTTGTTGTTTGAATCTGAGTACGACGTTTGATCAGTGAACACATAAAAGTCTAGAGTATTGAGAAATCTCACTACTGTCATATGTACTGTTAGTTTGCTTCTCATAATACGATTTTAACAGTTGGTGGTACTCTAATTCTCCACGTTTTTACTTCTGATATATTGTAAGCTATCCTTGGGTGTGTAGAAAGATACCATGAAATAAAATGTATTATCATAGCTTTGAGCAACAGTGTCCCAGTGACTCAGACTAATCCACAGATTTTACTGTGAACATTTTTCTCTTGCACTTTCTCTGATCCAACGTCATGACAGAGGTGCTGCAGATAATTATCTCTGCCAAACATGTTATGTTTTCACCCCCATCTGTTCGGTGTTTGTTTGTGAGCAGGATTACGCAAAGACTTCACAACCGATTTTTTCCACGAATTTGGTAGAAGGATGAGACAAGAAAGAACATAATTCATTTTGGCATGGATCCGGACAAAGGGGTGGAACCAGGATTTAAAAAAAAAAAAAGAAGTAAAATGTGTAACTTTGGGCCACTGGGGGTCTCTAAATCAAAATGATAACAAAAGATCTAGTTTGAATACATCCTGAAGGAGCATGGGATTATGGGAACATAATACAAAAATTACATTTGAGGGATAGTTGACTGAAAAATGAAAATTCATTCATTATCTGGTAAAGAATCCGATACAATTGAAGTAACTGGTGACTTATACTTCAGATGTAATAAAACAGAAAAACATCACATGCCTCCATACTGGTGATCACAAGCCCTGACATTCATATTCGACTCGAAACAAGGTTATTTACACCATGTGTTAAGCATTAATGTCCACTGATATTTTCCTAGGAGGGGCGTCCAAGACCCTCGGACACACCATTGTTTGGCTAAGTCTGCTAGCTTTGCCACTTCCATTGGACTTTAGGGCTTAAAACACGTTGTCGAGAGCCTTTAAAATTGAGCAAACAGATGATCACGACAGCTGTAATCCGATTTACAGACTCTCACAAGTCATTTAGATACTTCACAGCAGCACCTCATCACTAACCGTATACTCGTACTTGGCGACTCAGAACCCAGAGCCAAACTAAACACAAGCTGCGCTTTGTGTCCTTTGTTGGGGGAGCCTTAGGACAGAGACTTTGCCTTGTGATCATCTCGTATTTAAGAGTTTCAGTTTCCATTCATAATGGCATTGACAGTCATCAAGGATAAAAAAACAGCTTCTACCCACTACAGTCATCTCACGGCCCGCAGCATGAGCCAACTTGGCCAACAGAGTTTGGGTAAAACAGCAGGTGTTAAGAGACACAGAATGAACAAGGATTTAAAATAACAGAGGGTCTCTTTCAACAGAGGTATCCTCACACACACTGCTGCTTAAGAGAGCACTTTTTGAGCAGAAACCCAGATCTACAGATTCACACAGGGTAACTTGCCCAAGTGTACTTTAAGAGTGCTTTCCGGCATAGATGCAGAACTCATTCTCTGTACCTGCTCAACTTTTCAAAGGTGGTGTGGGAACGTTCAAGTCACACACCCTCTTCTTTGGCTCGACTTCCACACCCTCGTCTGTAAAAGTTATTTTCTCAAAACAGAACAGAGGGATTACTATTCAAAACTGGGTATACTTGAACTTAGCTCTTTGCTTTCCTGCCTTCTTACCTCTCACAGGAGTCTATATGCACACAGCCTGCTCAGAATAAGTTGTTTATTTACTCAGAGGGTGGTGGGCGATGGGTATCAGTCAAATGAGGACCTATGTGGCTGGCTAACAGCTCTGAGGCCGTGCTAATGACAGCTCTGGGGACGAGAATTTAGCTGAAATGTTTAAAAATTGCTCCCCAGCCTGCAGCTACTGCCTGTTGAGTTCATCAAACATGTGAGCTGTTGCCTATCAGGAGCTTTGCTGCTGTGGAAAAAAACACAGGGAGTAGACTGTAAGATGACCTACATTGTGGCCAGATAACATGAAAGATAATTATAATTTTGAGCTGGTACCGTAACCTTAAAAACTTTAGTTATTCACTGGCGTTTCCAGCAGCGTATGTCTAAATCGAAGCTATAACTTGCTTTATTGGTTCCCTCAAAATATGTGTAGCGAGCTCTTGCTAGCTATATTTACCTGGATCCTGCTAACTACAGCA